ATATGAAGTATATGCAGGCAAAAAGAACGTCCAGCATTATTCTCACGAAAATGTTTGAGACAGTTACATCAATTCTGCCCGGGGGGACAGGGGACGCTTCCATTCCGAATTCAATTTTCGGATTGCACATATACATTGAGCACGGATTCCTTGTCAATTTGCTGTCGATAACCGCACTTCCTTCGGAATTTGAAACAGAATAACTATAAAAACTGAAGGGAAAAAGAAATATCAAGCAGAACAAAGTCCACTCAATTGCCTCAGGTGTTTAAAAACAGGGATATGAGTCATCTTCCTGGGACGTTCATAATGTAAAGTTGTAAAAATATGCCCATTAGTTTCTGTGTGTCTGCCCGTCCATCCGTAGTCAACAACTGCTGAATTGATTTTCTTTCCATAGAATGTTACTAAAATTTGTTGACACATTCAAATACGGGTTAAAAGTTGAACCAGAAAAACGGATGCTTCCCGTTGGGCGCCCAACTCGAGCTGAACTGCCAACATGTGTGGCAACGAGAAATGTTCCCATTCTAGACTGTGGCCAAAGATCGTTGTCTCTAAGTCTTGAGGTTCTCGAGACAATCAGGAGACGGGATTCTTACGCTGATTAGAGGAAATAAAAGAGCGAACGTGGCAGAACTGTTACGCAATGCAATCCGCGTCATTATTTAATCGACGTAGCTCCTATGTATCTGTTAATAAAAGACTGACTACCTTACTGCCATTTGTGAGCCGACTGTCTACAGAAAATGTGGCGGCCTCGACGTCTCACAACCCTTTGGGCCTTCATGGTCTGTTATAGGGATAGCGTTACCGTTTTTTTTTGTCGTCCCGAATATTCTAGGCCGGTCGGGATGAATAGTTTCGCACATCTTAACCGTTGTTTGTCCACCAGGACACTGGTTATCGTGGCTTTTCCAGCAACACCTGGTAAATGACGCTATGGTACCTCGATTAAGCCACGATCACTCTCTTTCAAATCCTGACACCGACCACTTCCACCCGCCTTTGTAGTATCGACTTGGTCAGAATGATGCTATCCCTGCTGCGCCTGTTTCTGCCTTCGGATGGCGTACTGAGGAGGTGTAATTACAGTAGAACTTGGTTATAACGTCATCAAAGGGACCTAAAAATAGTGTCGTTATAAACGAATGTCGTTGTAACCGAAATGGGCACTTCCACAGTAGCCTTATGTTAGTCACGTAAAAATCTACCAAAAACCGAGTTAAAATGTTGCATTTTTTAGTGAAATACGTAGTTAAGTACAGACTAACGTAACATTAACGCGGAATTGCCCAAATGTGTAATATCAAAGACATATTACAGCGCTTTTCACTGACAATACACACCGCACTAATACTGTATATTAAAGGTAGGCCTACTCACCAAATTACAGTAGATTACATCAATTGTTGTGCCTTGCTGTACCTAGATACGAGTACAGTAATCAGTTATCTTCATCTGTTTCCTGTTACTTGCCCAATACACACTTTCTAAATTACGTTCAATGTCCATATCAGAGAAATTCAGGAATGAAAATGACGTTACATACGAGGTTGATGCATTTGTGCATGTCGTACTAAGCAAGGTATAAAAACAGTTGCTTTATGAGGAATTAGTTCGTACCATTGAATATCTGACGCAATAGACAAGGTGTCGCAGAAACCGATGTTGCTATAACCAAGTTTTACTGTATTTAAGCTCGGGGCCACTGCAAGTTGTCATTATAGAACGAACTAACGAAGGTAAGTATGTAGCCATACTGAAGCTAGCTGCGTCAGTTAGCATGAGACTTAGAGTAACGACGCCGGAATTCGCCAATAAACGAGTAGTTGATTCACCTTGATGTTAGTTCGCTTATCTGTTCTGCAAACCGTACTCTTGTATGTAAGATCTGAGGTTTCCACGGCGGTGAATATGAAGGATGCCGTCTTCTTGGATGAGGCACCGTGCAGATATTTTGTTAACCGACGTTTCGGAGGAAAGTATTGCCCCAATCTTCATGGTGTAAGAAATCTGTGAGCTCAGTCTACAGACACCTGTTCACGCTGGTTCAAAGGTCCCGGATTTTTTATACCATGAAGATTGGGGCGATACTTTCCTCCGAAACGTCGGTTAACAAAATATCTACACGGTGCCACATCCCAGAAGACGGCATTCTTCATACTCTTTTATTTTATTGTACGTAAATTAGTGCAATTATAGTTTTTTATTTGAATTGATAATCCAGTTCACTGAATCTATTTAGTGTACTAGGATTCGGAGTGGGCAGTGATCATGTCCGTGCACTTATGGTTTGCACATTCGCACGCTGGGGAGTAAAAAATTCGAATCCTCCCCGGTGCGGACCGATACATACCATTCCATCTCTCATTGGGAAGTATTAACGAGGCAACTATTACATAATGGCCCTTGAGTAGTTCGCACTCGCAGACAAATATAACGAATTTCTGACATGGCTTTTTCGCTGACTTTTGTAGGCGTGTCTGGTTTTCTCTACCCGAACTAAAATTATTGACTGCTCATGTCAGAACTCCAGACTTCTTGGCGCTGCCAAAATCAAGAAATTTCCATATTAACACGGCATTGCATGTTAAAGACAATAGAATACGATATTATACATTTATGATAAAGTTCAATTAATACCGAAATATAACATTTTGAATTTAAAATAATTAATTAATTAATTATAAATTATGTTCTCGGTCATTTATAATCAGTCAAATAAAAGGGACCAAGATTGATCAGCGTCAGTCCTTTCCAATTCATCATTCATCCTACCACCAGACGCCACAGTCTCGATACAGCGTCGTTAAACAACCATTTCATAAAACAGAAACAAAAAAACGGAGTTTGTCTTCTACTTACGCAAAACTAAATCAAGAGTACCACTAGGCGCCAATGGTTCACCATCACTTCCATGTATTTTTCTAACTTCATTAACCAACCAACCAACAAACTCCGTGGCTTTAGTTCACAAGCGAATTATACCGACCGAGCGACCGCCAATTGTCGGTGAAGTTAGTGCCAACTTTAGCGGACAGAGGGTGTCACGTGGTCAGCGCAACGAATCCCCACGGCCGTTAATTTCGGGTTTCTAGACCGGAACAGTAATTGAAAAATGGCTGTCAACAGATGATATGGGAATACTAATGGGATCTCTAATGCAGATATATGAAAAGACAAACGCTTCATAGGAATTCTGCGTTGTGCGCGCCCTACATTTCTATTTTTGTATTACTATTTCATTCTGTGGCGGTTCACGACCATCTGATCAGTTGCGCCCAAGAACGAAAACCCATATATATAGTTAAAAGAAGACAGGAAAATATTTAAATGTTCACATTTTAAGAGACTGTGTTCTATGTTACAGAGTGCCGCCTTTTGTTTCGTAACTACAGGTTAATTTCGTGTTGACACGGACATCTTTGGAGCTGGGCCCCCTCTGACCAGCGGCTAAGCACCTTAATCCTTTGGTACATATACAATGCCCTCTCGGGAGCCTAAGAACGCACTGTTTCTATTATTTACATTGAGAGACCGACTGCATTTCTCATATTCTTGTTTCAGGCTCCTCGATAACGACGGAGACAAAGGTTCATGTGACACTGAATGACTTCGAAATCGTCTCTAATCATCGCCTTCCTTTCAATGCCAATACTAAACATATACTTTCTGCTGCTGTAATATGGTCTTTGAAATTACTGCTTATTCTACATGTCCAGCACTTAGAGGTTTCTAATAAGCTTCCAGCCTGTCACTCGACATACACACACGGTCTCACATTCGCATTCAATCTCACACAAATAAGAGACGCAAGAATCCTAAAATGTTAAATCGTGTTTTACCTCGGTGTAGCTGAATTCCTGTTCGAACACCTAAGACATAACATGGGGCCACGATTTGACGGCCCACGTACAATGCAAAAGAATTGTGGGGGGGGGGATGCGTGACATTTATCGAGCGCCATAAGCAAGTGGAAGGAACTTCCTTGGAAAAGTGAGCTAAGGCTGCGGCCCGTGAGGCAACGCCCTCCACAAACTTCTTGTAACCTAAACAATTTTTCTGTGGATTTTGAAAGATCTTATGTCATAAAAATATGCAATAAAATTATAAATCTATCGAACTGCTTTTTATGCCATAATAAACGCAAACAAATTAAAAATTCGTTAAATACGTACATTTTATACAAGTATGTACACCGAGACGCCAAAAGTGGGTGAGGGCCAGCCCCCTCCGGTTCTTAGGGACAGACGGCCCATGGATGCATTGTCCCTCATTCGTCTTCACATCGAGCTCGAACTACACGTGCGTCTCTTTCTGGGTGGAAGACTGGATTATCGATTTACAGTATTTATGTGGCGAATGCCAATAATGACATGATAATTTCAAACGCCAATTTATACACATGACACTATATAGAACACATGAAAATTATTTCTTTTCGTTCAATATCAGCTCCAAATCCTGATCCATGTCGATCGTAAGGTTTAAGTTGGAATATCTGCTAGGGAAAAACGGACTTTTAGCATATATTAATATCACGTATATATAACACGTGCTTTTCGTTTGGGTGCATTTTTATGAAAAGGCGTAAATATCTGTTAAATGTTATCTAGTTTCTGGGGTGTGAGCATCCATTACCAAGGAACTAGCTGGTTAGGAAAACGCAAAATCGCACCCTCCATCTGCCTCTACACTAATTATTTACGTATTAATGATCTTTGGTTTCAGCATAGGTGACACATCGCCTTTACTAACCTCACATCTAGCACTGTTTGTTTGTTTGTTTGTTTTTTTTTTTTTGCAAAATCGGTAAGCATTAATATTTCAGTTCCAATTTAACACCCCTTCGATTCTGATCGGCATTTGGAAACGTGTTTGACATTTCATTTGGCAACTGTTACCCGCTATTTTAAGGGGAACAAAGAGTTGGAACGCATAACAAGACACGATCTATACCATGCATCTGACAGTGGGATGAATGAAAAGGATCGTACCTTCACGCTCTCCATGCACCCTGCTGACCCGGCTACTTGAACTGTCACCGTCACCATCGCCGTCCCCATTATGCATTAGAAGTAAAAACTCCGCAGGGTACTCTTGCGCAGCTACAGCTGCTTCCTCCATTGCACACAACAAACTACCACTCACCTCCGTTGTACTTAACACAATAACACGCGTATCATGCATTCACATAACCACACGCCTGCTCTTCCCATAAAAAAATACACATTTCCAAGCCGTGTTTCTGACCTTTCGGGTAAAAGCATTAGCAGTGCTATCTGGTAGCAGATATATTTACTATTTGTCACGTCTCACTCGCATAATGGCGCATACGGAGAAAAGTTGAACTACAACAGACCATACTCGACAACTCCCCACCTCCTTCCAAAGCAATCAAGAAAAGTCGATAGTTCCTTAAGCCGGCAAATTGTCGGTGTGTATGAAACCCAAAAGCAGTCACTGTCACTGAACACTGGCCTGAAAAACAAAGCTTTACATCAACAGAAAACTAAAGATAATTTTTAATATAATCTTTACATCTTTTCAGGAACCAGGAAAGCTCAATTTGTGTAGCAATGAGCTATGGGCTTGACAGTTCAAGAATCGAAGTTTGATTTGTGGTTGGTGCAAGAAATTTTTCTCTTTTCTACAAAATCCTGACTCTGTGGCCCACCCACCCTCATATCTAATGCGTGCTTGGGCCTCTTACCCTTGGACAAACTGGCTGGGGCATGAAGCTGACTGCTCATTTCATCTAGTGTTGAGTTCAAATCTACATTCATTGGTACCCCTGCAGCAGTCGGCCTTTTCAGGACTTGAGGTTTCCATTGCCCTGTCCATGTGCCTTAAAGGAGTTCTTTTGTACTACCTCTTCTGTTCTCCTCTCCTGAAATTATTTTTTTTTCAGGACCTACCCCTTCCCATTCAATCCTTTGTGACCATACCTGTTCTTCCTCATGCCTGACTCTGGCCACTCCTGTCCTCTCTAACCTGTTTCCTTCATCTCTCCTTCCCTGACTTCACTACATACTTTTGTTATGCAGATGGAAACAGTATGTTCCTCAAAAACAATTTTACCCACCTACTAGACAACACTGTTTTAACCAAGAAGGCCATAATATATTTGGACTCCTGACACACTGTAAAGGTTTATTAGCTAATCTAATACTATGATTCTGCATTAAATTCTGGAGTCAAGATGAACACATACCATTTTTCTCTGCATTTACTTTTCAACCACCCCTCAAACTCATGTCTGGTAGTTTATGTGCTTTAGCCTATGCAACTTTCTTAAGAAACAGAATTATGAGAACAAAATTCTGTCTGTATGACTCTCTCCATTCAACTTTATAACTTACATATTTTCACGAAATCTGATATGAAGGTTATTCCAACAGATGACACCCAACACGACTACTTCTTAATTTCTTACTATGGGTAGCAACAACACAGCAGACACACAAACTTATGAGATTGAAGCAACAATTTCAAAACTTAAAATTCAATTTTGATATAATGTATGGCAACAGATCTATGAAAAATATGAAACTAATATTCAAGCAATTTTTTTGTAGCATGTAAAACAACAAGGATGTATTAAATGTATATTTACATTCTTGGTTTGATTGAGATCCATATTAGATGGGTCCCTAGTCACCAGGGCATGGCAAATCCTTGGGATGCGGAGGGAGGAGACGACCTCCAGATATGGAGGGTAACTGTGCATATGGGGCAGGAGTTGAGTTGACAGTTGACATGAGTTTTACATGGATGGCTGTGACAAGAGGACCTAAGCGCATGAAGCTGAAGAAGCTCCACTGTTAGAGGCCATTTCCAGGGAACAGCTGGTGAAGACAGCAGACTAGAAAAAGGGTTTAGCAGGTGCTGTGGTGATTTGTAAAGTGTGGAGATTAGCAATAATGCTATAATTACTTGTAGTGTCAAGTAGTATGTGTATAAGAGGTCAATAAATCCATTCACCATCTATGGCCACCCCTAATATGTGACAATATGTCCTGCTTTTATGGAAACTGAACGTCCATGTCAAAATCCAACCACACTGGACCTTATCCAGTTCACATCTTAAAAATCAATTTCTGTAGGATTCCCTTCTAAAAGAGAAGAGACAAGCCAAACGTACAAAGATGTTGGTTAGTTATATGATGAAAATATTTATACATGATTCTCACATAAAACTCTCCATTATTAACATTTGATTTCTAAAGTTTCTTTCCATCAGGCATACCCCAGTTTGTTTTTCCCCATATTTTTACAAGTTCAGTAAATATAATCACATCTGATCCATAATACAACATCTAATCCGTTGCAATCACAAGTTTTTGACCAAGTAAAGTTGATGAATGATCATGTATATGTAATTGGTTTATGCTGTCTTACAGTGTATACACTTTTTCACCTTATTCTTCACTTCCACACTACATGTTTCAGCACTAATGTGCCATCCTCAGGTGTCTTTATGCACGTTAAACTACTGTACTGCATGCCATGATGTCTTCATTCTAAAATGACTAAAATCTGTATTCGTCATATATGTTGATGAATTGTAATTAATAAAACTTTTCAGGATTCATCCTATGCCGCACTCAAACACGCGAATTACGCCAATCCTCATTTATGTGAGCATTCTTCCTACATACATTTGTGTATCATGTTCTGTGTTGTGTTTTGCTCCTGTTACTGCATGCGTTGTACTGCTGAAAAGTTTTATTATTTAGAATTCATCGACATATATGACGAATACAGATTTTAGTCATTTTAGAATGAAGACATCATGGCATGCAGTACAATAGTTTAACGTGCATAAAGACACCTGAGGATGGCACATTAGTGCTGAAACATGTAGTGTGGAAGTGAAGAATAAGGTGAAAAAGTGTATACACTGTAAGATGGTTAGCATAAACCATGGACATGAATCAGTGTAACAGGATGCTAAAATATAACATGTATATGTGACCCCTGCTCAGCGCACTTTCACTTACATATAAATGTACATCCAGACTTATGACTGGGTTAAAACCTGGAGGAATAAAGAATAGAAAAATAGAGGTTTAACTGAACAAAACAGTTTCATTGTTTATCTTTACAGTATCAAATACTGTGCAATACAGTATACTCCCCATTATCTGGTATATATAGGGAATGATATATTTACAAATCTGCCATTTGCATGAAAGAAACTCTCACATGAACCTAATAAGAAGTCGAAAAAACATATTCTTACTTTACTTCTTGCATGGGAGTCTTTCCAGGTGAGAATGGATTAATGAGTGAAAGATTTTGGATACATCCTGTAACATGATCTTATATTCAGCTAGGTTCTATTGTAATGGCATCTGCATGAGGGAGTACAATACAGAGTGTTACTAGTGGTGGCCAGAACTACAGCATGGCAGGTGAACATACTCATATGCATATCATAATTTGTTTTTGAATATCTTTATACAAACACTACATTTTTCTGAATGTTTGCTAGGTGCATGAGAGTTCCACATGCTTGAATACCAGATAACCAAGATTTTAATCTACAATGAAGAGTAACAAAATTGGAAATAATTTAAAACAATCAATTCCTGCAAGTCACTGGAAGACTACCTAATACAATAAAAGACCTTACAGACCAGTAGACTGCTAATCCACAGTTCAGTCGTGAATTACCAAGAAACTCCACTGACTAAGAGAGTAGATGAATAACCTTTAACTACTTGTCTAACCCTATGTGGTCTCTAAATTGTATAAACATGTCCATCTGGTAATACTGTGGAGTATGGCACATGAAACATGGGAAATAATTCTTTTCTACTGCATACATATTTAGCAAGATGCTTCTTCTTTCTGAATATTCCCAACACCCATTCACACCACATCACAGCTTTCTTTTGGTGAAGGTTCTTCTTTCTGAATATTCCCAACACCCATTCACACCACATCACAGCTTTCTTTTGGTGAAGGTTCTTCTTTCTGAATATTCCCAACACCCATTCACACCACATCACAGCTTTCGTTTGGTGAAGGAATCTTCTTCTTCTTTCTGAACATTCCCAACACCCATTCACACCACATTACAGCTTTCTTTTGGTGAAGGAATCTTGCTTCTTCTTTCTGAATATTCCCAACACCCATTCACACCACATCACAGCTTTCTTTTGGTGAAGGAATCTCTGGTGTCTCATTATTTTGCTGCAGTAAGGTGTAAGGACGGTTCAGTCATTGGGCAGCAATCTTTCAGGTCACTGGGTACGTCATGTCCAATTTTTTCCCTTTAAATAGTCCTTAGAATTTAAGTGAGGGTGATGTCTTCATGCCCCTGACTGTCACAGTCATAAACATCCCCCTGTTCATTTGCCCAATAACTGATTTTACTTGAACACCTCTTGGTTGGGTGAAATGGGGGAGTTCTTTTGCCATGACATCTTCCTAATTCTCCTTCTCCTGCTTTATCTGAGTCTTCCTCAGTCATTTAACTTGCTGTCAAATATTAGTTCAATGTCATCTTCGAGCAACCACCACATTTTGGTACTAATACTGAGGATTCGATGAAGCGTTTTTCCTATATTGTAGTAATATGTGACAGTTGAGCTAAATTTTGTCTTGGATTGCAACATACCAAATCTGGCTGAGATGTATTACGGCTACCTGCCTACTTTGAAAACATTCAGCCCAGCATCTAAGCAATAAAATCTTTCTAATTGTAAAACTCACAGCAGAAATGAGGCCGTTAGTAAATGTGTTGCCATGGGAGCTGACCTTGAATGCTTCTTGGTCAGAGAAGATTGAGTTTTAAACAATATAGCAAGCAGATGTCATAATTTACAATCTAAGTTTCAAAAAACACTACGTACAGTTGTTTTCAAAAGTTTCTGTCACTTTTCTTAGCTAAGTCTAGAATTATTTATATTATTCTGAATAATAATAAAATGAAACATGAAAAAATCACGAGTATAAAGAATCATAAACTAATCATCATATATAAAGAAAGTTTATTTAAAAAATTTTATAACATTTAAATTGAGTCATTAATAATTCAATTTATATTTGGAGTATCTAGCTTAAAATTGTAATAAATACAGTTCAAGTTCTGTAACTTTGCTCTAGGGGCATTTAAAAGCAGTTTAAACTCTTGGCCATTAGTTTATAAGCCAGCATTTAAATATTGCACTTAAAAGTTGTGGAAAGTACCTACAACTGAAACAGAGTGGATCTATGCAGAATATTAGAATCACTGACAGCGGTTAATAAATCGTAAATATAATTTATGTTGAATGAACTCAAATAGGTATAATGTTTCAGCCCAGTTAATAATGGAATTATGCTATAAAAAGGACTACATGTGTGGTACAACCAGGTGACTCAACAGTTTCCTGGTAGTTCTAACATGTTCATTCCACTGTAAATTTCTTTATTGCCTAGCATGTAACTGATATAACATGTATAGGAAATTTAAGGAACATTTATTATAAGCACTCTGGTCTGTCTGCTAGGACTCCATGGTATGGCAACAATCAAAATGATGGCTGGCTGAGGACTTAATGAAAACCATGAACCACATTTGCAAAATTCTGACTTTGTTAAATGTGAGAGATGGCATAATAATGCAGAAAAAATATGCAATGAGTTCTCTTAGACCATTAGGTCCCTTCATAATATCTACCAGACATTACTTGTCACATCAATGTTCTTGTTTGAAAGAGACTGGATATATATTTTTTATTTGAACAAAAGCACATGTCTGACCATTCTATATTGAGAGCAACAGACAGAGGAATAAGATGTGAAAGACTGTTCAGGAAAACAGTATTCTGAGGATAACATTCAAAACATGGTTCTATTATAAGCAAATAAGATGTGAACAGTAACGACAAAACAACGTAAAGATGGACTACAAATGTACACCAGGGACATATGAGTTAGGCATTAATTTGTACTCATGTAAATTCTATTTCTTGAAACAATTTATAATATTATCCCAATCCTGACATGAAAATACAAAATAAGTGTTAAGAACAGAAGAAACTGGAAAAAATGTTAAGACTTAAAGTAGTGACATCATCAAAGACAGGTGAAGTTTCCTTTCACCAGGGTACCAAATTCTGACCCATAATAAAGTGTGCTATAGTCCAGTGAATTTCACTGCTACAATCTGACACTTGCATGTAAAAATCTACAATCAGTATTCTACAAATCTATGATAGACAGCAATAAATGCCATCCTCTACCCATTTTAGTGAGGCTAACAACATAAAGAAGTAACATAGTATGTTTGTGAATCTATGACATTTTACTTAATAACAAAGAAGTACAGGAATATTTCCTTATAGGAACAATTTTAACCCCCTCACTGGTGAGTGAAAATAAATATGCTAGTTGTGCATTACAATCTCCTCACCAGTTTGACATTAAGTGAATATCCCAGAAAAACAGGGATATGTTTAATTTTTAAAACTCAACTTTTGTATGTGTCTCACTATGGCATGTCTAGAAAGAAATTAATATTAAAGGAGTCTAGATATTTTGTGGAGAACTTCCAACTGTAAAAGAAAGTGTGATTTTTAACATACATCTTACATGAAACCAAGAATAGCTTGTAATCTGACTCTGAGTTTAATAACATCATTCTTGTTCTCTTCCTCCAGTTTCTTTACCATCAATTCATGCAGCTGTTGCTTCAGGTCTGTCTCCACTAAAGGCAAAGACCGCTGATCTCTCTCCAGTTTCTGCCATTGCTTATTGAAATAATGGTGAGAGTTGCTAAGGCAGGTTTTGCTGTAAGATAAGAGAGAAATAAATGACAATCTTAAGAAATCAAATGGCTCCATGTCTGGTGAATGATATTATTATTCCTTTTAATTCATAAAATTCTGTCAGTATCTCAGTCATTCTCTGCTTCACTTAATTAGTACATATGTAATTGTTCAGTATTATGCATATGCATATGCATATTATGCATATAGCGAATGCACAAGGAGATCATACCTATCAATATGTTTCATCTCCTAAATTGTATATTGGATTAAAGCAGTTTAAAGGAGATGAGAAGTTTCTATTTAATATTTGTTATGCCACGACAATTCTGAATATACATGAATTTCATTTCAAACTTTAATACCTGTACATTTCTAAAATGTCTCATAGCACAGAGGCATGACATAAAGCATATGATACATATAAACACATCATTAAGATTTAAAACATGACTTAAATGGTGGATATTTAACAAAGCAAATAATTATGCCCATCTAAGGTGCCTCCATAGTCTAGGGATAACGTTCCCACCTCATGACTCAAGGTACGCGGGTTCAAAAACCCAGCGGAGGTCGTGGAATTTTTAAGGGCGGAAAAATTCAGGGAACAAGTCCTCCAGGAGGGACTTTAAGCCGTGGGTCCCGTGTCGTAGATTTACGGCACATAAAAGAACCTCATGTCTCTAGGAGACCTCTGAGCAAAATCAGGCCATGTTTCCCGCCCAACTAGTTCCCAATTCCTCCGGTAGATGGGGGAAGTATCAGGTACCACTGCCAGAGGAGGGGGGACCTCGCTGACAGAAAGGGACTAACTATTAGATACCACTGCCAGTAAGAGGTTGGAACCTTGATGGCAGAAAGGGGCTGATAGTAAGCACCAGTACTGGTAGGGTATGGAGACAGTAGAAATTAAAGGGGGACGCACAATGGACCAGTAACCGGTCTAAGTGCATGGGGAAACCCACCCCCTCAATACGGAATACAGAATGCCCATCTATGTTATAATATGTAGTTTCCTTTCCACACATTATTTGTATCTGGAATAAGTAAATCAAAGAAGAGAGCAAAATTCTAAAGAATGCATTTGGTAACTGCATTCCAGCAGACACATATCCACTCCTGTTACAGCTCTCACATTAGGCAGTGTGTTAGAGGCAAAGCCACAACTGACAGAAAATCTTCTTTCACTGGACAATTGGCAGTGAGGTATCCCAGTCACTGATAGATGAAGCACAACCTCTAACAGTGGTCCTGGACGGACTAGCAACTGACCTCTCAGTTTCCTTGAGGAAAGCCTTTTTCTTCCTCACTCACTTCTTCTGTTGGAAGTTCTTCTTGATGGTATGGCTATTTGCCTTTCACTTTCAGTCGAACTTCTAATGGAATCTCACCAAAGTCTCTAACAGATTTTGCTGCTTCTTTACAGCAGCAGAGGAGCAAACAACCCACTGATGTAAGGAAGGGGGAGAGGTGTTCTTCTCATGGACTACTGATGGTGAAATACCTCCAGCTACAATCTGTTATGCATGCCAGGAACAGGAGAGTTCCCATTACTGACCCCTGATTTGCTTAGTGGGGGGTGGAGTCCAACTGGGTCCACTCGGCACAGCAGCCATTGATTGGCCTATTGTAGTCTGCCCCAGGTGATTATGAGGATGGCGAATTTTATGGAATGAAGGCAGAGGAAATCAAAGTACTCGGAGAAAACCTGCCCCAGCTCCACTTTGTCCACCACAAATCCCACTTGACCAGACCCGAGATAACCCGGGCCGCCGCAGTGGGAAGCCAGCGACTAACCACTTGAGCTATGGCGCAGCCGCTGAACCCTGATAGACCCATAACAGAACTCCAGTCAGCCTCAGTTTCCTTGAGAAGAGCCTCCCTTTACCTGGCCCCCTTCTCCTCCTTCTTCTTCTTGATCATCAGGCTACTCACCTGCATCAAGAGGTCTCTTTTAATCTCACCCTGAATGGACCCCTACCAAAACCCCTGAGCATTTGGCTGTTTCTTTACAGCAGCAGAGGCTGGGAGGAGGTCTTCTTCTGTTGGAACACTGACAGCAGGACAATGCCAGCCACCCTCTTTCATTTGCTGATACGGACAACTTAGTCCCCACCACTGGTCCCAGCTGGACCCACAACCAAGCTCCAGCAAAACCTTCAGTTTCCTTAAGGACAGTCTTCTTCTTCCTGGCCTACTTCTTCTGCTAGCCAGTTCAGTTCTTCTCCCTGTTGCTCAAAAGACCTCTATCAACCTCACCCTCAATGGACCCCTTGCCAGAGGCCACTGAGAAATTTTTGCTGCTTCCTCTTAGCAGTAGATACCAAGTAGCTGAGCCCTATAATGCAGGGACAGGAAGTCCAGGGCTCTCGTCTGACCCCAATACAGCCAGACATTTACTTTAGTTCATATAAATACATCTTTTTTCCATAACTTTGTAAATTACTGACCTTAGGCATATTTGACAAGATTTCATTTTAACAATTTCCCTGTGAAATTTCAACAGTCTATACACTAGTATTTAACATTTTTTCTGTGTATTTTTTCAGAAGTTGCATATTAATCTTTCCCAGCAGAAACCTACCATTCTGCCATTTCATCCAAGCAGTTGTGCTGCAGTTGGAATGAACGTCTAATGTAGTTTTCCAATTTCTGCCAACGTGCTTCCTGCTCATTGAGATGCTCAATGTTGCTCTTGATTTTCTCCATTTCTGACTCGCATTTCTGAATGTAATCAGCGACAAGCAGCTTTCTGAAAATAAAATGCATGCTTGCATATTTAACCCTGTCAATATCTGTGTCAAAAAAGAAGGATGAAAGAGAAGTGGAAGGTAGACAGAAGTAAGGGACAATTTTATGTTCCAATTTGCAATTATTGAAATAAAAAGTTCTACGCATAACAACTCTGATGATGTAAGATCAGGGCTTGAGGTGGGGCGGGATGCGGCGGGATGGCATTCCGGTTCTTTTCTAAATGGCTTAAAAGCATCCCGTTACTTCTTTGGCAGTAAATGCAATGTACAATATGTCTATGAATTAAAAGGGGAAAACCATCCCGGTTCTATTTTCATTCCACCTCAAGCACTGTGTAAGATTGAAATTTTTCCTTCATCACATAGTTTTACATTACTTAGTTAATGAAATTTAATGAAAGTTTTAGCTTTACAATACCTCTCTGCAAGAAGTGGCTGTAATGAAAGCATAATGCGAACCATAGGATAATTATCTTGATGCTGGATCATCATTCAGTTTTTCTAATGTTTTATTCAATTGATCTTTCACTATATTGAGTTTAATTTCTGCATATATATTTGTGGAGTTTCATAAATGTCCATGGGAAGTTAGCCACACTGTAGACACAGTGCTCTTCAGTCTCTCCTTGGTTAAGCAACTTACTGAACATATTTTGCAGATTTCTAACTTTTCTTCTTCACTTCCACTTTATGTACCATAATGTAAGTGCAAATCACTTCATATAAATTTGAAAGCTGTTCTTCAAACAACATACCAAGTCCATAGAGATAAATTCTATAAAATCATGTCCACATACTCTTGGAACCAAGATGCTGTCATTACACATTCCAAAAATCATTGAACCAATACATCCTGAATTAAAACAGCTTTAGAGTTTAAACAGACAAAATAATCCAGTTATTCACTGTAAATGTACATATTCAGTTATTCAGTATAGAGGGGGTGGGTTTCCCCATGCATCGCGACTAATAGTCTATTGTACGTCCCCCTTTTAATTTCTACTGTCGCCATACCCTACCGATAATGGTGCCCGCTATCTCCACTTTCTGCCAGTGAGGTCGGCCCTCTACTGGTAGTGGTACCCGATAACTCTCCCCTTTCTGCCAGCGAGGTCGGCCCTCTACTGGCAGTGGTACCCGATAACTCTCCCCTTTCTGCCAGCGAGGTCGGCCCTCTACTGGCATTGCTACCTGATAAGTTCCCCATCTACCGGAGGCATTGGAAACTACTTGGGCGGGAAATATTTTGCCTAATTTTGCTCAGAGGTCTCCTAGACACACGAGGATCTTTTACGTGCCGTAAATCTAAAACATGGGACCCATGGCTTAAAGTACCCCCCAGAGGACTTGTTCCCTGAATTTTTCCACCCTTAAAAATTCCACGACCTCCGCCGGGTTTGAACCCGCGTACCTTGAGTCCTGAGGTGGGAACATTACCCCTAAAATACGGAGGCCGCTAAATGTACATATACTATAATGGCAACCCATTAACACATATGATTGCTTGAATTCACTATGTTCCACAAGATCACGAGGCATGTTTGAACGAATTCTGCCTGTATATATCTCCTGTTTAACAAGATAATATCAACGTTGGCAGACTTGCAAAGTGGCCAGCAGCAATTATTTTGAGGGATGATGTGGATCTGTGTAAGTGTATGTGAATACCTTGTAATATGATGCGATAAAACCACATTCCACAAC